CTCCACTCTACTGATTTCTCATCCTCATTTCCGTATCCCTCTTCATCTTAACAAAAGAAAGATACGATCTTCTTCAAACCTATTGCTCCAAGACCCATCTGCGCCTCCAATTATTGAAATTCAACAATTCGAATTACAGAAATAAATCAAAATTTTACTGGTATGGTGTTTTATTTACGCTTCATGTTCCGACTCACAAACAAATTTACAAATCTCAAAGCAAAAAATTATTCTTACAGTTTTCCGAAGCCTCAAATTATCTCATGTCTTAATAATCAGCACACATCAAATTCTTCTTTCTGATAAATTTTGTATATCTATTTGCATAATCGCTGAACCTGTGTTTTCATTTTCTTAGGGAATATGGAACTTCCTGAACTACGCACGCAATTAGTATTCAAGAAGTAAAATCTGAAAGAGAACCACACTTTGCAGTTGAATGCAAAGAATATTGGATAAAACCAAAAATAAATGACTAGAAGAAAAAGGAAGAAAAAAAGACGATATTTGGTCTGGCGAATTCAAAGGGGCCAGCCGATTTTTGAACATTCGCCATTCTAAAATTAGATACAATTACCGAATTCTTTGCCAGGCGTAAATGGATTTTCCGTGAGGCGCACCGGCGCGGCGGAGCTGCATTCGGAGGCGGCCAGGAGGGAAATCGAGGGCGGGGCGAAAGGGCGCGGCGTGGGCGGGGGCGGGAAAGACGCGGGCGACCGCCGCGCCGCCCGCGGGCGACCGGACGCCAGGAGCTGCAAATTGAGTTCCTGTTGAGCGCGAAGGCGCCACCGTATTGTTCCATTGGCGGCGCTCCGTGCCGTTGGGCCTCCTCTTCTAATTCCTCCTCCACCTCCATGTCCTTTATTTCTCCACATCCACCACCGCCTTCTCTTTCTTCTCCTTCAGCTTGCCCGTACACTTCATCGCTTCCTCGTCCATCTTCTCCTCCGTCCCCAACTTGTCCTCCTCTGCCTATTCCCCACTGCCTTCGTGTTTTCCTACTCCGCCTCCATTTCGTCTGGCTCAACGCATGCCATTTCTTTGTACTGAACAACTTTATGCGATTAACTATACCTATATCGTTGAAACAAACCTAACACAGGTCATACGCTAAACTTTTGTTTGACAGCCCTGCCCAGCATCTTAACCATCGCATTTGGTCGGAAACCTTCTCCACAGTCAGTAAACATAATGTCGCCATGCGTTCAGTATCATTGATGGTCTACGAGCGCGATTTTGTCAGGACTCCAATTGTGAGGCATCAGTGAACCATTTCCTACTCTCATCAAGTCTAGCGTATAGAGATGCTTGGAGAAGTATGCTGTACCATACTTCTCGAGAATCTTATTAAATTGTCTATTTCCGCGGTACATTTTCTTGGCGCAATCCTAACTTGCCACTATTTTCCTAATTTCCTTCAAGCCTACCAGGGTTGGAATGGCTTCATCCTCAGCGTATCTGAAGGTTGAATAGTTGAGCCTCGCTGAAGGCATTTATACTAAAGTATGGCGTGGTTGGATTATCATACCGACAATATCTTTTCTCATTTCTCTCCATTGTTTTAACCTGGATTTTCGTGCTCCTCCCTTTCTCCCTTGCATGTTCCACTTTCTTTATCTCTTTGTTGTAACGTCCCGCTTGCAACCATTTCCGCTTCTGTTAAATACCTTGCAGGTCCTGAGCCCCCATGTCTCACCCACACGTGCCTCCGGTCTACTCTACCGTCACCACTCCCCCCTCACCTTCGCAGCC